TTTTTTTTTTTTTTTTTTTGCTCTAATAGAAAAATGTTAATTAATTAAAATTATTTATATAGAAAATTACGGAGTCGATAAGGGCAAAAGGATAAAACGGGAACAATTTTTTAGCGAGCGTTTTTTGTTTTCAAACGACAGATTTTTTTATTATTAATAGAACACGTGATTATAAGCGGAAAACAATCGATAACAGACTGAATGAGCAGCTACACAGTTGTAATACTGAAGAGGACAACTCCCATGGAAGCCTAATTATTAGCGAGTTATATACACACTTTTAACTATTCGACTGTGAAGTAAATCTCACGAATATTTTGGACTCGATATTATTAAAAAAATTAATTGTCGAATTGATGTAAAATTAGTAATTTGAACTAGTTAGAGGTTCGATCCATCAAATTTACTAATTAGCTTGTTCAAAATAGTTTATTTGGTTAATGTTTTAATAAGAAAAACTTTTTAAAAGATATTTCATCAATTAATAATAAGTATTTGTGGTTAAATTTTTTTTAGTTCGTAAAAAGAGTGATAAATATCTTTTAGTTGGTCATACACCCATTTATCGTGAATCTTTCACTCTCGCGCACATGTTTTGATTGTTTTTTTATCCAAGATCGTCATGTTAAAAGGTATTTCACTGGACCAACTTGAGCCATTTGTATATGAATTGGGCATGTCTTTTATTGATTTGGGAGTAATTTATATCAAGTGTGGGGGAGGTGTATCGGGGCTCGTGAGCTTTTGTTGAAAACTTGGAGAAATTTTAGTGGTTGTCTTTCAATTTTGAGGCTCGTTGGAAAATATTGTTGATTATTTTAATGTTGTTATTATAAATACCATCATTGTTAATATATTTTATTTAAATATATTGCTTTTATTTTATTTCATCATAGTTATATTAATCTTATTATTAACCTAATTAGTATTTTTCCTAATAATTTTTAATATAGGATTTTACTATTAATGAATTAAATAATTAGCAAATTAAAAATGTAAGCTTTAACTTAAAAGGGTGTATTCAATCAAGACTCTTAAGGACTTTTCAAAACATTTTAAAATTAATGACTTTTGTGGACTTCATGCAACTTTTGTGGATTTTGTGAGATTTGTTATGGAGACTTTTTAAGACTTTCAATGTGAACTTTTTGAGACTTACATATCAATATAACAATTAAATTTGTATGAAATGCTTATAATAAAATTTGTGCATAACAACTAATATCAATAAAGTCAAATGAGTAACTAAAAATTATAATATTAATTTAAAATATTTTATGGTATTAACCACCATCCGTTAAGCAAGAATGCAGACAAGAGAAAACAATTTATAACAAACAATCTCGATAAGAAAAGAATAAAAAAACATGAAAAACATTCACCAGTTGAAATTTTAATTTCAGACTTATTACGTCGTCCAAGATTCGCTACATCAACTATGAGTCCTTAATGAATCTACACTTCATTACTCTCTTCAGAAGTGCATTTTTGTATCCCTGAACTTTTTCAGTTCCCTGTAATGAATCTACACTACGTAAATTAATAAATACATCAAAAATGTTCTAATACGAGTCAATTAACTAGAGCAATATTGTCAAAGACATTCTTCAACAAAACGACTTCCACTTACATTATCTTATCTTACTCACAAGAAACATATTCTTGAACAAAACGACTCCAACTTACATTATCTTCTTCACAAGAAAAATATTCAAGTAGCATTATGAGTAAAGCAACACCATAAAACTAGAATTCAACAAGCACACAAAAATACATACAAATAGGTTGATGTTAATTAATTCGAATGTAAATAATATTTAGGAAATTACTACGCATTGAAAAAAGCACAAAACATTGAAATATGTAACCATAAGCTTCCAAAATCACATTTTTTCATGATCAGATGCTTTTAATAAAACATACATGAGACAAATCAAAACATGAAACATAATGCTTATTTTCTTTACATGCATTATTTCACCTAATCCACACATATTTGCTTTTAATGTTATTATTATAATCAACCAAACTATCACTGTTGGGTTTGATATACTGTACGGAACAGAGTTTGCAGCGGAATTTAAAATTTTATAAGTATTTATCTTATAAATACTTATTCCGTACATAAGTATAACGAGATAACAAATAAGCATCATTTAAAATCTAGTAATTTTTACTACTTTTGATTTGATATTTAATTTATAAAAATTACATTTGTTCTTGAACTCCTTCAAAACCAACGATGTATGAGGAAATCAATTTCCGGTTTGGTAACGATCACTTCTTGTTGTTACTCACTTTAGGAATCCAAATGTCTTCCCTCTAATCGTATCCACCTTTTGAACTTTGGTTCCGACTATAGTTTCTTCGCTAGTAGAAACTACTCGGTTTTTCAAGAAGTATAGAATATATATTTATAAGGAAATTTTTCAAGAACACTTTCTTGTATTATCACTCAACTCTTTGAATGAATTTTTTCTTGGAAGAATTTTGCTCAAAACTTAGCAATTAATGTGCAAACATTTTGCACCTATTTATACTAAACATTTTAGCATAAAATAATCAATATTTGATATATTTTATTTTAAATAAAATCAGATTTTATTTAAATAATCATACCAAATATTGACTTTTAATTAATAATGTGGAGTGGTTTATAACCACCATTATTGTTTTAATAAAAATAAGATTAATTATTTGGATTGGTTAACAACTCCAAACTACCATAATTAATTTATTCTTATTAATATTTAATCTTCAATCATATTAAAGATAAATAATAAAATAATAATTCTTGAAAACATTTTTCAAGACTTTAATTATTTTAATCTATTCTTCCATTTCCTTATTTAATAATCTTATTATTATTTGGGTTTGAAATTTAAAATTCAATTTTGAATTCCAACTATTAATTAGTAATTCTATTAATTACTAAATTAATATCCAAAATTCAATTAATCAATCTAATTGATTAATTTAATATATTTTTTAATTGATATCTAATCAAATTAGATTTGTCAATTAATTCTAACTCTTTAGAAAT